GAAGCCACTGACTAACAATATCTTTGAAGAGGTGAATGTATGGACATACCAGATTAAAACACCCACAGAGATAAATTAATTATGGAGTCATTGTGAGGCTTATAATGGAATTTTAAGACATGTTTGTCCATTATGGGGGGGGGCAGAGATCAAAGGACTGAAATGCAATGATGTGTAAAAACGAAAATAAATATATCACTTTTATTCCGTAACATATTATACTTACATGTACATGCACATGTACAATGTACATTGTACATGTAGCCTAATAAAAATCATATTTTAAAACTACATGTACATGTATACCGTAGGCCGGGTTTCGATTGCGAGGTTTTTTTGATTGCGAATTGCGAGTCTGGAATACATCTCGCAATGAAAAGAATTGTAATTAGTAATAATTGATAAACGCCACGCCTATAATAATTAATAAGCACCATGCCTATCAATCATTTTCTCTACACGTGTTTCATTTTATAGCATCATGAGTGGTATCCTGTGCTATTTTCAGCCCAAATTACCTGATCTAGTCAAGTCTTAATGCCACCTAACATCTTGAAGGAAGTTAATCAAGCTGTGGCAGTAGCTTTAGATGGCAAGGAGAGAAACAAGACAATCAGTTAACTTGTGAGTGTGGCTAGCTAGGCTAGCATCTGGCAATTGTTGGAAATGCAAACTAGTTATTTTTTCAAATTCGCAATCTATTAGATACACAATCAAAACCCGGCCTACGGTATACACAATATGCCTATAATAGTTATTTTGGTAAATCTGCCCCATCACAAAAATATTCTTGAAAAGTATAGGCACAATCATAAAGCTCATGTCATTCGACAAACCACAAAATAATACTACAATTTTAATATCTCTTCAAGTGCATAATACATAATACTTTCAAGTGATAATACAAGAACATTTACTAATTTAATGTGCATGCACAAATTGTGTACCAAAACAAGTAATTAATCAAAGGTGTATTGTATTTATTGGGGTGAGCCTGAGCAAGCCCCACATAAACGACACGAGTATGTCTGTCTGTTTGTTTGTCTGTACACGTCTGCCACCCCTATTTATGCATAATATTTGCTAACAGCTACATGTACACGTATAACTGTTAAAATTAATATTGGAAGGAGTTCTCGTCTTAACAATTACACAATAATAACACAATAAACTATTAAATCAGAATGTAAAATAAGGTCCTGAATAAAAATGCAATCTCAACAAATTTCTTAATGAATTTTAAATTCACTCAAAGGCATTGTCAAAAAGGTTAGCAGAGAAATATCCATTTTTATAAAACATACACATGTATTAATGTTATGATGAGTTAGAGCCAATTCTAATTAAAATTTGATTTTTTACATAGGGCTAAATTTTGCAAAAATTGAAAAGGAGAAAAATCATCATATATATAATTTTTCTGATACACATACATGTACATGTACTTATACATGTACATGTGTGTTGCATAGAAAGTTTGAACGGAATCCAATTATCCAATTAAAATTGGATTTTATATGAATTTTAAAAGTTTTGAAAAAAGGCAAATGACCCTGTGTTATATATGTACATTTACATGTAGTGCAGGGTCAAGGGCCAAATTTGACAAAAAATGAAGAGATATTGCAACATTTTCATACATATAAATGTACTTACATGTACATGTACAATGTATGTTGCGTAAAAAGTTAGAGCTGATTCTAATCAAAATTGAATTTGTTATAAATTTGTGAACGAAACTTATAGTACACATAAGAGAAGAGTACAGAGGGTGATACTTTACAGTGAGCAAAAATTTCACAAACTGGCCTAAAATAAGATTTGGTTTAACCATACAAATTTCATCCACTATACATGTATTTGTGTGTGCAATGTGCATCACCTCAGACGTGGTATTCCTAGTGTGACGTTCATTTCTCCTCTACCGGCAAAATGAAATGCATTCAATGTCATCTGAGTGGAAGGTTTACCAATTGACTATAAAAGAAAACACAATTATTATCTCATTGTGTATACCGTAAACGCCATATATTTCACAGGGATTAAATTTCATGATTTTCGCGTTTTGGAAAAATGCACAAAATTAAAATCTGTAAAATACATGTAGCATGCTGATTGTATAGTGGGTTTGGTAATTAGTTGCATGTACAATGTACATTAAAATTGCAAAATTTTTATTCGCAAATACAAAATGCAGCCAAATCATACCCACAAAATATATGGCGTATACTGTATTCCAATTATTACTTGTGCTGCTAGTAGTCCAACAGGTTCTCCTGGTTCAGCTACTGCTCTTAAACCTTTAAACTGTGACAAAGTCCTGAACTTTTCAGGAGTCAATAAAGTCTACCTACAAGAAAACAGACACAAAATGTAAGCATGTACATGTACATGCATAACAAGTCTGATGTATTAATCATATAATTGTTATATATGTAATTGCTTAAAGGCTGGTAATGATGTATTGCAAAAAGAGCTGAACCAAAATACCTGTCACGTCTGAGGACTGATGTAGGAGAATAATACACAGCATTATGGTTGTCATTAAACCTGTAAAATAATTGTATCCTTATAATTAATGCTTAGTTTGCAACTAATTAATTTCTAAGTGAGCATATTGCTAAATTACATGTACATGTACACATTTCATTACAATTACAGCATTTTAATTTCTAAATATTAAAAGAGAAAATTCAAATAATAAAAATTTGAAATTATTGCTATAAATTACAAGTTTACATGTAGTTGCTAGGGTCATTTTACAATTAATCTTCATCCACAAATCACATTGACAAATCTCAGTTTTTGTTCAAAATTTCTAATAAACAAAAATCTCTTTAACAGGATAAAAATACTGTATACATGTAAGTGTTTTTTGAAGGTTGTAAATTTTGTGAATTTTGTGAATCCCTACCTGATTCACAAAAATAAAATCAGCAAAAATCAATTTAATATGGACCCGCATGGAACATGGTAGAATTCATAAAATTAAAATCTGTGAATTCGGATTTTTAATAGATTTCCAAAATACATGTGTACCATTCCCTCGAAACAACCACTTATACGGTACATCTATATGTACATGTACATGGCAGACATACATGTACATAAACATGTACATGTACATGCAACTCAATGTGAGACTTATAAGACTAAGTACAAAACTAAAAATAACACTCAGTAAAAATAAATTTGGTTGCGACAGTTCTAAATAAGCCAGACTACATAATGTCATACCATACAGGATTAATAGTTGAAAGCCAGTGACTAACAAACAATATCTCTGAAGAGATGAATGTATGGGCATACCAGATTAAAACACCTACAGAGATAAATTAATTATGGAGTCACTGTGAGGCTTATAATGGAATTTTAAGACATGTTTGTCTGTTATGGGGGGGGCAGAGATCAAAGGACTGAAATGCAATGAGGTGTAGAAACGAAAATAAATATATCACTTTTATTGCGTGATCTACTGTACTTACACATATGTACATGTACACATAAAATTCTGGGAACTCTGCCCCATCACAAAAATATTCTTCAAAAGTATGAATTGTAAAAGTCATGTCATTTGACAAACTACAAAATAATATGACAATTTTAACACCTCTTGTACAGATGCATAAAATCATAATGCATTAGCATGCATACTAGAAGCCAAGTGTGTAAGTACATGTACAATGAATATGTACAGAACACGTATATGTACAATAAATAAATTACTTTTCTAACTTTTAAAATCTTATTATACTGACCTTTTCCTCCTCCTCCTCCTCCTTCTTTTCTGAGACCACCACCTGTAAAATAAAAACATACTGTACATGTTATAATACATATGCATGCACATACATTTACTAGTTAATGCATGTACTAATCATGTACCAAAACATGTAATTAGTCAAAGGAGCAATTGTATGTGTATACATGTACTTTATTCATAAATGAAGACAAACTGAAAATTTATACTACAAGAGTCTCTCTCCCTCTATCCCACTTGGTCTTGCTCCACGTGGTTTTAATGCATTATAGAGCATAATACATTGCAATGCAAGGAATGCCATTATAAAAAGGTACAGTATCCTTCAATACTTTTAAATTAAAAAGCATACACACAAACACCTAGTTCATAGTAAACTCACGCAAAAACACTGGTAGTCTTGTAGATCCCGACTCCCTGGGGCTTGGGTCTGGCCTTGCATTCCAGGCCTTAATGGTGGAAGCCTAGAAGGCTCCACTGCTAAGCCCCGGGGATGAGGTTCGGTAAGGTATTACTCCTAAAGCAAAAATTCACATTTCAGTAATGTACGTTATACAAACTTATATTCTTACAATGGCATAGCAATTTCTGCAGCGAAGTAGGAGGCTAATTCCTGCTGGCTATGATAAAGATACACATGTACAATTTAGAATACAAAAATAACTATAACTTACTAAGTGGCAAATCATACACAACATGTGAATAATGATAGTATCACAAGTTACCAGTCCACTAATAGGATAACAAGTACACTAAAAAAATGAAGATCTGAATCACACAGTTATTCAGTAACTCCAACAACAGAAGAAGTATTAGAAGTTTTGTGAAAAGACTCGAATGACCTAGAAAAACTCTTTAATTCAATAATAATTAAATCTCACCTGAGCTTGTGGCTAAAGGGACACACCCTCATCAAAGTTTTGTTATTTTAAACAAGATAGGGACATTTGGAACCAATTATTGTTATTTTTAAGAATTTCCTCTTTGCTGAAATGTAAGTTTTATATAATATACGCAGTACAGTTAGCTTGAAATTTTCGTGGGTCTATATTTTCGTGATTCGCTCCTAGTGGGGCAATTCGTGGTTCAATTTTCATAGTTGACAGTTTACATAGCCTATAAGGGGATGGCACTTCAATGATTTTGTGGGTTTAAATTTTGTGGGAAGCCCAAAACCATGAGAACCACAAAAATTTACATTCCACAAAAATTTCAAGCTATACAGTATTAGAATTAAAGATTTAATTAGGATACAAGAGGAATTATTAATGAACGAAGAAGAAATATAGAATTTTGAGGAAATCGATACCGTATACTGGGAAATTTTCAAGCAGCCAAATTTTCATGGCTTTCGCGTTTCTTGCACCGTCGCAAAAATAAAAATCGTGAAATTCTAAATTTTCATTGCCTCATGGTGGAGTTTACAAGCTATTCGCAAAAATATTATTTTGTGAAATTTTACAAATGCAAAATTTGCAAAAATTTAGCGACGCAAAATATCCCAGTATATGGTATCACAGTATTTTATACTTTGTACAGTTGGTAATAATTATAATTATTTATAATAACAGTTAAAAAGATGGTGTCATTATTATTGTCTGAAGGAGAAGAGGTTAATAATGTTCCGGCCTCAATCTTTTGTAACAAAGGATTGGATTTTGTAAGGAGGATTGGATTTTTCCAAAAATTGGCTCCAAAATCACCCATAATTTGTAATACATTGTCTGATACATATTGATGTCATTATGCTATGTAGAAAGTTTGAGCTGCTCCAACAAAAAATTTTCAAGTTATGGCAATTTTAAAAAATGAGACAATTTTTGAAAAATAGCAAAAGGTATAAGCCCATGCTTTTTCCAAATATGGGCTCCAAAACAACCCCAAACTTTGATTACATTTTCTGATACGTATTGATGTCCTTATGCTATGTTAAAAGTTTGAGCTGATTCTAACAAAAATTTTTCTAGTTACGACTATTTAAAAAAAGAGTCAATTTCTGAAAGAAAGGCCCATACTTTTTCAAAAATCGGCTCTAAAATCAGCCCCAATATTCATTACATTTTCCAACACATATTGATGTGCTTATGCTACATGTATGTAGAAAGTTTGAGCTAATTCTGACAACAAATTTTGAAGCTATGAAAATTTAAAACATGCCAATTTCTATGGACTATTACTGTACATACATGAAATTCTTAATACATGTACAATATAGTACATGTCAAGTATAATATACCTCATCACTATTTAATCATACTGCCTCTTATGAAACACTCTGGCATCTTCCAAAACCTATCACCATCCTAGAATATAATACAATAAACATTAAAACATCATTGACAATCTATTGATACAACTACTATGTAACATACACACTTTGATGCGCAAACAATATGATACATGCACACGTAATACAATATGTTACATGTAAGGTCTTACTCTTGATGTACATAATATAACTTCTTTCAGTTGAATGTTCATCCAGTTATCACATGACAATTGCTATATGACCATTATACATGTACATGTACATGTACATCTCACCATCCTTCAATTCAGCCAACTACAAGAGAGAATGAGGAGAAAAAAATAGAGAAAAATAACATTTCCTGCATTACATAGCACTATAATAAATGGCCAGATTTACATGTCCAGCTATTGGAATGGAACTTCCGGTCGCATTAATTTAATGATATTCATTGGAATTATCATAGCAACGGCAGCTCAGCAATGGTGGATTGATAGGAAGCTTCACTACAAAGCCTGCTAACGTCTTTCTAGTTCATGGATGGGACTTCACTAGATACTTGGAGCTTCTTGAATGCTACTTAATGCAATTGGTCAGGGGCGTAGCTGGACCTTGGGTGATGGTAGGGCAAGGAGACAAAATGGCGCGCGAAGCGCGCCGCAATTTTGGCCACACCCCTTTTACGTAACAAAATTGAGGCATTTTCCTGCAAGCTGAGCGAAATCAGAGTGAAATTATCATTGTATATAGCTATAAAAAGAGCTATGGTTATCAGCCACCCCCTTTTGTTATTGTAAGAACAATGAATATAATCTTTTGGGTTATAATTTCAATGAATATAATTATAAGGCCACTTTGATGGTAGGGCCCAGGCCCCCTCAGGCCCTACCTCAGCTACGCCCCTGCAATTGGTTATGGTAGTTTTTTCATATTCTATTGTTAAAGTGGCAAGCGTGGCGCAAGAAGACTCATCCACTAACAAACGGCCTTCTTGTTATTACTATAAAGGATCTAGAGACATGATTTGCTTGTGTAGCTGTTAAGCACTCTTAGTTTTACTTTATTATTCCTATGAGAAGAGAAAAGCACTTGTTCACTCTTGTTGCTGCACCCGTTATCACTGAGATGACTAAAATTATTTCACCTTTAGAAGACAAAAGTTCCGAACAAAGTTTTGAATTTCTTTATCTTTTTTGCATGATTGGGCAGTAAAAATGTTTTACTTTCACAAGGTAAGTGCGCAATTTGTCAAAAATTGTTTGAAATTTAGATATAACCATTCAAAAAGTAAAAAATTTATCATACATACATAAAGGAATGACAAAATGGCGGCACTGACTGCCTCATCTTTAATCTGTAAATGTTCCACACAAAGTTACTCCAAGTGCTGTCATATTTAGCAGGAACACAGGTATAATTATGGAGAACAGCTACTGAAGTGCGCAAATTGATGAGACTTATTCTGAAGAAAGATATAGCCTAGTAAATGGAAATGTCCATTCCTGCCCTGTATAAAGTCAACCAGTAGTATACGGAGATAATTGCTCAGTATACTAATCCGCGTCCACTCATTGCTGGACATGACATATGACGTACTGATCTATGATTTATGGCGGCAATAACCACACCAATAATAAATAATTTAAAATGTTTCCTTACCATAGGATTATCCTGTGCTGCCTTTAATAAAAATAACAGCAACTAGAAATAAAACAAAATATTAATAATTATTATTATAGCAAGAAAGCACTGAGTCAAACTCAACATTTTAAGTCAGTATACGGTGATATCCAAAAGTAAACGATGGCAAAACGGGCCTGTGATGGCGATGCTGCTGCTGCTCCTGTTGGATTCCCCTCCTTAACGCCTACAGCAGGTCCTGGTCAGTCTAGTAAGAAAGCGAGGAGAGAAAATAGTACCCCAGAGCTCAACAATGCTTATATGAATACTCAAGGAAAGCTATGTAAAGAAATGAAAAACGCTTGGAGGTTGACACGTGGTGGGCGGGACTAAATTATTCCATTATTAATTAATTTTAGTTAACTAATTTTAATTACTGATAATTATTTTTTAGGAACAAGGAGCCTTTTGAATCAGGTAAAGAATAAGATAAAAGTTTGCAATTTTTCAATGCTGTTGTTATTATTACCATTGTTGTTTTTGTTTGATTTATTTGTTGTTCTATAGTCACATGATCTTAAAGATGCCAAATCAATTCAAATAAAACAATTTTGGTAAGAACCAAATCTTTATTGTTATTTTGGTTATGAACACACAGTATGCTTGTTAATTTAGAAGTGGAAAAATCTGGCAAATTGCTAATGTTTGTGATTGGTGGATTTTAATTTGTGGCAATTGAGTATGTGAATAATGGGTTTATTTTGTTAAATGGCTATCAAAATGCCCTCCAAGATTACAAGCTATACGGTATTGGTATGTGTTTTCTGCTTTTAGGGATTTATTATTAAGGGATATACTGCCATGGCTAAGAGAGCTAACTGGTATTGACCTATATGAGACTGTGGATGCAACTTGTGCTAAATACGATTATACAAGTCACATGACTGATATGTACCCTCACATGATGTAGAGTGATCTCTCTCACTGTAGATGTATTATTGTGTCATGATGATGAGCTGGAGGGTAGAAGGATTGCATACATATACTATCTTGTAGATCCTTCATGGGAGAAGAAAGATGGAGGTAAGAATTACTGTATAGCACTTTATTTTGGTAACTGCCAATCATTAATGTAAATTCTCAGTGGTAATGTGTGTGTGTGTACAAAAAATTGCAACTTAAAAAGCTACCATTTGCATTATTATAGTAAATTGCCAAAATGAATTGTTGTACAGTAGTAATACTTTCTCTTCTCTTCATAGGGACACATGATTTATTCAACACTGATGGTATTTACATTTGTAATTTATAATAATAATTATTTTAGTATATAGAGTTTGGTCAGCCTCATCAGATAGTCCATTCTATTGTTCCTTTGTGGAACTCCTTTGTATTCTTTGAAGTCACTCCAGCCTCTTTCCATCAAATAGGATAGGTCATTGTTATACTGTATAATCGACCAATCAAATTCTCCCACTCACATGTGTTAGGTATCTGAAGTGCTGACGGCTTCAAAGACTCGTCTAACAATGAGTGGCTGGTTTCATGGACCATCATTGCCCCACCCATCTCCTTATAAGGAAGTCATGCCATCAATGCACCACCCACTGGATAAACCAGTATGTTAATATTGTAATAATAATTGTTTGACTTGTCAAACCAGTTAGAGGTGTTGGTGGAGTGGGTTAGTCCAGTGTATCTTGATGTTGGTACACAATCACAGATAAGGGAACAATTTGAGAGTGAATCACAAATTGAATTACCTGACTTCTTAATAGTGAGTAAACTAGTACCGTATAGCGGGATTTATTGACAAGGGTTTTATTTTGACGAGTTGACGATTTAAAATAAAACGTTGAATTTTATAACCGTCAAAAATTTTGTAAATGTACTTTGTGCTATACAGTACATGTAATTCTATCACGTACAGTTTGAATTAAGGCCACTACATGTAGATTTGTTGTTGGTTTCCCACCCACACACTCCCACACCAGCAATTAATGATTTGCATTGTACACATCAAATTAATTTAAAATTTTAATAAGTCTCCTACCTGTGAAGAGAGAAACATTGGCAGGGGCGTATCTAGGAATTTGGAAAGAGGGGGTGCTGAGGGCAGGCAAAGCAAGCCGTGATTTTGGTCACACCCACTTTTACGCATGGCCTTTCCTTCATTTTCGTCAATTATGGATGGGGTCAAGATCATTTCAAGCATACTGCCATGTTACTGGTACTTCTGATTGCTCCTTAAAGCACTGGAAACTGCTGAAATCATGATCAGGGGGTTAGATAACTTTGTTAAGAGGCTTGGTAGTGATGCAAGAGTCCAGGACTTCAGTAATTTTTTTGAGCCCAGCCATGAGGAGGTGCTCAAGCCCCCTCACCCCCCCTAAATATACCTGGCCTAACCAATGAAACAACTTAAAGCTAAGTGATACTCATCTAGCCTTGGTGTATAGCCTTGGTGTACACTCACATAATAACCATCTGGTAAACATACATGTATACTGTTACATGTACATGTTGATTCATTGTTTCTCCTTTCCCACCCACACACGCCCACATCAGTGATTGATTATTAGCACTATACACAATATTGCAAGAATTAAAAATTTTAATGAATGTCAATGAAGCTGCCACCGCCCACATCAACCCTGCCCTTGAAAAGCAAAACAAGGAATCTGCCTAACTAATGCCTTGGGGTACACTCACATCTATTAACCCCCTGCCCCTAGTAAATCTTGTCTGAACAGACTTACATATATCATTATTTTTTACTTATAATTGTTTTGCCTGTGAGATATGTTGTACATGTGTATGACTGCATTGCTGAGTTAAAATAAATATACATGTGTAATAGAAATATTTACCAAGCAATAATTCATTACACTTACGTCGTACACAATGACTGTAGGAGAATACGCATGTACATTATGTGTCATATTATTTGCACTGAACATGTACATGTACATGTACATGCACATCATTCATGATGTATAATGATGTATTGCAAGTGCACAATTTAATATATCAGTACCTATATTGTGTCATATTATATTGTGTGAACCTTGTATGATTTAATAAAAATTGTAGTAGACCTATCGTATGAAATGGCCAAATTTAGTCATGATATCTAGTATAACAATAATAACTGTAGTAGAGGACACTACAGTTATTTTACATGAATGATAAGGTTAATTCAATAATAGTTCCGTTACAATTTACGCATATATTGACTTTTTACGTGTTCCTTACTGTTTCACGGTACACGTATGTCATGTGTCACAAATTATACTTGATAGCGTACATTGAGGGTGGCAACCCCCTTTTTAATAAAATTAACAAAACTTAATTATAAGCTGCATATTAAAGAAAAACTGTTTTGTAGCTTACATAATAATAGAATTGTCTTTCATGGTTCTATTATGAGGTCAAACATTGCTTATCAATTTTTAGGAATTTTACCATGTTTGAAATAAAGTATGTTTTTGCAGTGCACTTTGCATGCTTGAGAACTTCCCCTCTTTCCAAAAATCCTGCCTATGTCCCTGATGACTGTTGAGAAGGATGCATTTTATGTCATTACACTGTACATGTGTATGTATCGCAAGTGTATATAATAATACAATACCATATAGCGGGAAATTTCCGAGGATAACAAATTTGGCGAATTTTGCAGATTTTTTCATGATTCGCGAAATTAAATTCCTTGAAAATTAATTTAATACGGTACAAGATGGCAGATTAGTGGAAATTCGCAAAAATTAATTCTGCAAACTTCCTGATACAGGTCATTCACATAATTTATTATCCTCAAAAAAACCTGCTTATACAGTACAATAGAATTCTTACAACACTAGTATAGCTATATTTATATTATGAGAACTTTGTGTGACTTAAAAAATTGTAGTAACCTATTGTATGATATCTACGTTGACAATGATAACTGTAGTAGAGAAACACTACAATGTATGTACTATCATTTCACATGACATATTGATAATGATAATGATAATGGTTCAGCTCTTATCGTACATGCATGTGTATCATATTATTTATGAAAATGCTTTGTATATGTCAATTGTGAATCATAATGTGCATACAATTATACATAATTATAGCTAATTCAGAATGCAATATCCACCATAACTCTCCAGATCCATTGAATAATTGTTTTTTCTATACTAGAGAAGCAACTACCATAATTTTGGAAATTTCCAATTAGAAAATAAATTGGATAATTAATCTTCAATAATTTTAATTTTCGGATAGCCATCTTGTTCCGAAATTAAGTTTAATTCCAATATTAAGCAGTAACAGTGAATGACTTTGAAGAGATATCAAAGAGCTCAATAGTAGATCAAGAGAGAGTGAGTATGAGCGAGAAAGAAGGAGTAGAGGGCACTGAGCAGTGCTGAAGACAGCTAAAGTCAAGCCACATGGCACGAATACCGAAATTCCTTTTTACCTGAATATTTTAATATTCAATTGTTAAAAATTTTAACTTTTTTATTTTCGAATTTTTTTGTCCATCTGAAAATTAAAATTATCCGAAAATTTCCAAGTTTATGGTGCATGTACTTTATAAGTAAAGAAATAAAACCAGTTAGGTAGTTATCAACTGCCATATTCCTGCATGTTGCCATGGTCATTGGGTAAAGGGATACATATCTATAGGATTGAATGTGCACAGTAATGCACCATTAAATGTGGGAGAATTTTGATGCCTTGTCATTATGCATTAAATATGGAATAAAATACAATATGCATACAATTCCAGTAACTGTTTGTGGTATTTGTATTATGTGAACTGTGTCAGACTTATAAAAATTGTAGTAGACCTATCGTATGAAATGACCAAATTTAGTCATGGTATCTAAGATTACAATAATAACTGTAGTACAGGACACTACGCATGTAGATACTATGAATTTATGTACTGTTTTGACATGAAAACGATCAATAGTTACAGTAGTTAGTTACTGTAACACATACCATTCACTTCTTACCATAATTTATCATAGTACATGTTACTTACCATGTATCATGTATTGAAAATAATCATGCCTTTAGAGAATAGTTATTTTCATAGCATTAGAACTTATAAGTAGCAATTTTGTTTTGTTTTGTCTTAAGTAGCTGGTAACATCTCCTATTATTCTAACAATTAATATTTATAGGAGGATAAATATAAGTTGTTGTGCAATGACTTAAAGAAAAAGGCAAACATCTGGGAGAGAAGAGGACCACCTAACAAAAGGCTAATCTACAACTAACATTTTTTGCAGGCACACTCTTGTTTCTCTCACTGTCTCTTTCTAGAAATATTGAAGTAGCTCACCTAGACAAATTGTTATTATTACCTACTGAATGTCACTCTCTTTTTCTGTCTGAGCCTCCTCCTCTTTCATCTTACTGGCCTACAGCTAACATCTCATACTCTAAACCTTAATCCTAATGATAATGCATCCATTATACCAGAGAGTAATAACACTCCTTGTAACTGTCATGGTGACTGGTACCGCTGGCAGCATGGTGGATACACACTGATGAGTGATAGTACCAGCAATGTTAATGGAGAGAATGAAGAGTTTTTGCTTGAAGCAAAGCTATTTTTAATACAAAAGGTATTTCATACTGTAGAACAGATGTTTATGGTGTAGACTTTGTATGCATTGCATGTATAGTTGATGGCATACAGGATAGAAACATGCAAAATGCACACAGAGCTAAGATACATCTATTGCATGTGTGTGCCTGACCTGAGCTGGTTCAGGAATGTAATGAGAGTTCATGAACCACAAAGCCATTTTTCTACATGTACTAGTATAAACACAAGAGAGAACATGAGTTGGTGGATATGTTATTACCACATGTCATATCTATTGCATGACTCAGGCTTATATAATTTAACTGACATATAAAATATTCTTTTTTTGATGCAGAGTGGATGACTGAGTTTGGTGGCTGTATAACTTATATTGTAAAGGATGAAGACGAAGAGGTGTGAGACCATTTTAGGCTGATTAGGTGTCAACTGTTTGGCAAATTTTTGGTCTTGTGTGTCATCATGCCTAATGGTTTGAAATCTTGAGTCAAAGTTAATTTTGCAAATTGCAAAAATCTTCTTACTCTTAACCCAAGTCCTAATTCACTATACAGTTGGTTTATAAAAATGATGCAGATACACTTAGTTTTACAAAGTACATTAATGTGAGATCTGAAGAAGAAAGCAATAGACAGCTCATATGGTATTCACTGGACACTGTGTATCAAGAAAACAATGAATGTTCTGGATAGATAGTATTATTTGCATTTAACATCTGTTTTTGCATTTTAACATTTTTTGCTATTACAAGCTATTGCAATCCCACGCGGTGGCAATTTAAAGTATCTATGATGTTAGGGCATAGATTAGAGCATAGATACTTTATGATTAGAGTAAAGGAAAATGTTATCTTATAGATACTATCTATGGTCGCAGCCATAGCCAGCTAGGCGGAATCTGGCACCACCCACCACCTAGCTCGTAGGTTTAATTATAAAAAGCGAGCTAAGAAGAGCTTTCATAATTATAATCACCAGCCTTCCAATGGCTGAACCACGTCACAGACCTGCTATTCTGAGATTAAGTGGAAGACACTTAGGTTAGTATAGAAGTGTATTAGATATAGATTACGTGATTATTCAACACAGACATTAGAGATCTTAATGAAGTGGTTGCGTTACTTGAGAGACATCACTGCAACAAGGCCTCATATCATCGACTTGGTCTAAGTCTTTTACTTTCTCATAACACACTGGAGAAAGTTGAACAAGAACACAGGGGGCAAGTAGATCGTTGTTTTACAGAGTCTTTGGCTAGCTGGTTGCGTAAAGCTGACAGTGTGGAGAATCCAACATTAGATACACTGATAGCTGCTCTTAGAGGAATAGGAGAGAATGCTGTAGCTGATGGTATTACTGGTGAAAGACAAAGTAAATAAAATTATTGTATTTAATTTTTAAGAAGTAGTCTTAATTAACCTGGCAATGAAATTTAAATTGCTGTCGCTACTGCTCCGCCAACTGGCCACAGTTTTTAATGCTAGAGATTCGGCAGCTCGTTTTTCTCCATGAAATAGCTTGTACACATGCGCAATAGTGCAAAAATAGAACTTAGTCTTTTTATTAAGAAACTTTAAACCCAAATTTCAAAACCATACGATCCCATTGGCTAAGATGTATGAGAGGGTGCTCTAAAAACTAAACTCTAAACCCCAATCCCAACCCTACAACCCCGGAGGCTAAGATGTACGAGTGGGTGTTTATTTCTTGACTTAAAGAAGCCAATAAGTGAAGAAATAGACCACTGGCAGTGAAAATTGTTTGCGTAAGTTTGTGCAGGAAGATTATTAGAAATCTTTACGGTTGTAAGGTGTGGTTTAGGATAAAATAAATTCCGGCTGCCATTTTGGTTGGCAACTTTTAATGCAGAACAAACGGGCCTACATAAAAACAAACCTGTATTAAAAATTCTGAAGCAAATTTGACCAAATCCTATACAGGAGAAGCTTAAAGGCAGCTGTTCTTTCTTATAACAAGCACTATTTAGCTATTGATAGAGCCAGAGCTAAAGCAGGTAAGTGAGGCATTTTGCCTCCATTGACTTCTATAACAAACTTGCCAACCAAAATGGCAGCCAATTATGATGTGTGGGTGCCACTGGGCGGATACTTTATATAAAATTAATGAAATTCATATCTTTTCCAATTATCACTTCCAGTGGTCTATAGCAAAAAATTGAATCTAAAAAATGAAAAAAAAAAATCAAAACCAGTTGCATAACTTACTCCAATAGTCCTGACCTGATTCGAACCTGTACCCACGTCCTTGCCATACCACGAGTGGAGCCTCCCCACTGCGCCACCACGATCCTGCTGCATCACCAATGTTGGTTTTCTTATTTATACTTGATTTCAATAAAGTACCATTAATGCTGGGGCGTAGCCCCAGTGTAGGGCCAAAGCCCCTATTGCTGAATCTCTAGCTCTGCACCGTGTCTGGTTACCGGATCAGTAGCCACTGCGAATTTAAATTTGTACAGATCGACCTATTTGTAATAAAATTTGCTAACCATCTAAAATTCAATTCCATCTGCCCGTTCCTAGAGGCACGGTTTCACCATAGCCTGAGTCATGAAATTTTTGAAATGATTACAACTGAATTATCAAAATATGCATAATAGGAACTCATAGTGAAATCACAATATCTTGAATATACATTTATTCTAATTTTGTTTTATGATAGGGGATCCAATGCAGCCAGGCATGACTTATAATCCAGGTAAAGAGAACTTCAGTGTAACAGAATAAGTTTTGTAAATATAATGTGTAGGTGTACGCGATCTTGAGCTCAAAATTAATGAAGTTTCAGGGCTTCAAGAAATAGCTTATAAATTACAAGGACAATTTGATTCTCTTGTTCTTGCAGTGAAAAAGTCACTTGAAAGCCATTGCAATAATATAGAAGATGCAAAGGTTTTGATAAAGGGATGCTTAAAGAGGAAAGCTCGTGTTGTTGCTGAGTTAATGTTTTGCATTGATAAACTCGGAGAGGTCAATGATTTTAAAAGCTTTTTTGAATTTTTGAGCGATTATGATTTTATTGGTTATCTCAATTACAAGCTATTGAAGAAACTCATAGTTGAATTCGCTAAAGATGATGATGAAATTAAAGACCGTTTTATTGGATATGAAGAGGAATATGTTAAGTTATTAAGTGCAGCTTCTTTTCAAAATTTCATACCGTTCTTTGAGAAAAATTCTGATCTATCTCCTACTGCTCCTCTTGGCTTACCTCTTATTTCCTTCCGCCTTGAAAAGCCTTGGTTAATCACTAGTATTTTAACCTGGGTCTCAACTTACGGTGCTTTCTCATGGTTGGAATATGCGTATCTTAAGCAACTAAGAGCGGGCAGTATTATCATCACTTATGCTATACTGCCATGTGTTCTTGATGATGTCATGAGAGACCTGAAAAATCCAGTGATATTGAGAAAGTTAAAGGATAATGACATTACTGTAATTGAATTACCACAAGAAGAGGAAGGTGGGATAATGCAGTGAATAATTTTGTTGTGCTAAAAATTGATATTATTTTTTTTCAGAGACCCAGTTGGAATCTACTGCTAAAAGGAAACTAATTTCAGTATGTGATTTTGTGCATGCATATCTGATGCATGCATGAGCCCATTGTACATATAGCTTCCATAGCTGTGAATTAAATTTTATTGCATTTTTGATTAAAATGATTATGCCTTATATTAGGACTTGTTGATTTATATTGTGTGATATACAATTAACAACAGTTAATTACAAGATGTGTTAAGAATATACGCAACTTCACCTGTGATGTCACTTACATTGAATGCAACATAAAACCAAATGGGGTTGGTCATATGTTGCATTAAACATAATGACATCACAGCATGTATTGTAAACCCAGCTTTAGCACTTTTGTTAAACTTATCCAGACTGCCTGGACTGAAAACTCAATAAAATACTGTAATGCTGGCAGGCCTGTAATGATGTCTTTTACATGTATAGAGTATTTGACTTATCCAATGCATATACAAAGTCAGCAGCACTATTAAGCTTAATTTTTATTGATTTTGGAATTTTATTTCTATAGACAGGAGTCATACCAATAGAGAAAGAAGTTATAATTAAAAATTCTAGTCTGGTATGATCTAGTGCTGTGTATTTACATTAAAAATACATAGGGTAGAGAATTGATTAGCTCTATAGAATTTCATACTAAACCTGAGGAGGTTATTGGTCTACTTGAAGCTGGAGCTGATCCTAATGCTACTGAAGTTTGTAGCTATATTTATGTCATAATGTTTATTGTTCTAATATAGTATGCATCCGATCGCAAGACAGCTCTTATTAGAGCCATTGATAAGAATAATATTGGTATTGTCAAATTTTTGCTGGAGAAAGGAGCTGATCCTAATATTGGTTCTGATATGGTAAGCCTGTCTCAGTAATCACAGACCATTAATTAGCATCTTTTGAGATATAGATCAAGTGATTATATGCATGTGATGTATTGGCAATTTTTCTATTGGCAATTTTCAGCCACATGTGAATTCATTAGTAAAATTTGATTTATAAATGTATTTTTAGAGGAAGAGAACTCCATTGTTGATCGCTGTTAAGAGTGGTAGTATTGAAACTGTTGATATTCTATTAACTAATGGAGCTAGAACAAATGTTGTGTCTAAAGTAGGTGAAATTTTACCTAATTTATGTTTGAAAAAATAATTACTTGCCTGTCAGTAGAGTAGTGTTGATTACTCAGTAGACCACTTTTTGTAGCTAATAACCTATTGTTGTCATAATCATAGGATGGTAAAACTCCACTGCATTATGCTGGTAAATCTGGTAAAGTTGAAATGCTTGAGTTTTGGATTAGGAGAGGAGATTATGATGTGAATGTTAAAGATAAAGTAATTTGTTTCAAATTATCAGTCACTTTATGTTTTATTATAGAGGAAAAGAACTCCATTGTTTAATGCTGTTAAGAGTGGTAGTGTTGAAGCTGTTGATTTTCTATTAACTAATGGAGCTAGTGCTGATGTTGTAGATATAGTAAGTACCGTATTTCCTCAAATAGGGGGGCCTATTCAAACAAAAGGCACTAATATCACTATAGATACGCATATTTTACCCAGTTATGCACTTATTCTTAGAATGGTCCAAATAGCCTAATTGTTCATTTGCAGCCAACTCTGGGTATTGGCATTTTTTAATTTTACTTTTTGTGATTTTTTCCTCTGTTAAGCAATAAGCGCCTAGGCCCTTATTCAGGGAAATACGATTTTTAGAAATTTGTAACTACCATATAGCACTTTATTTTGGCAATTTTGCGGTAAAATTGTAATTGACAGTTTTTAATTTGGCGATTTTCGCATACACGTGCATTACTGAGCAGGTACATTAACGATTGGGAGTTTTAATATTGGTGATTCTACTTGCAAACTGCCAATTGCCAAAATAAAACTCCACCAAATTAAAGTTCTATACCTGATGGAGTAAGTGTTGATTACCATTTTTTGTGGATGTTAATGATAAATTTATAGGCAGTGGCCTATATGTAGGCTATGAGGTTGATTTATCATAAAAGCATGCAGCTGATTTTAACTGCTTATAATATAGACCCCCAAGGCACTACGACTATTTTGAATGAATTATTTACAGTAGCAACCCACAGTTAAAATTACTGATGGCAAGAAGATCTCCATATCAAAGGCAGATCAAAGCCCAAGGTGCCAAATATGAAGCATAGCAAAAAAACTGTGTTGCAGCAAGAGTTACCTGGTCAATATGATGTGGTCTGACCTTCATACTTTCCATAAATGCTGCGTGTAAGCCTGTAGTACCTTGCAGTGCTCACAAAAATGGCCAGGTGGTGTCACCGCCTTTGATTTTTTTTTGATCTCGAGGCCTTTTTGCCGTCAGTAATTTACATCGTGGGTGGATACCCTATAGAGAAAATTTATTAATTATTATGAATGAATTTCATTATTGTAATCATATTTATTGAAAATAATCTTAGCTCCTAGGGGGTCTATAACATAGCTATCATACAATGTTACATGAATGGTTCAGATACTAAGCAATCCTTCCTGGTTATGCATAATTCAAATTTCACCATTTGACTTTTATCTTCATAATCTGCTTGTAGAAGCACTTGAATTTTTTGATCATTTCTTTGCACCTGGCCCAGTCAAAAGTGTTCATTTTCAACAAAAATGGCTGGCAGACTGACCTACTGTTAGGATGATATTATCATGTCATACTATTTTTATCATAGGCTGGTACAACTCCACTACATTGTGCTGGTAAATCTGGTAAAGTTGAAATGCTTGAGTTTTGGATTAAGAGAGGAGATTATGATGTGAATGTTAAAGATAAAGTAACTTATTTTTAATTATCAGTGACTTTATGATGTATTATAGAGGAAGAGAACTCCATTGTTTAATGCTGTTAAGAGTGGTAGTATTGAAGCTGTTAATATTCTATTAACTAATGGAGCTAGAGCTGATGTTGTGTCTAAAGTAAGTAGAATTCTAAATTAATTTACAAATTATGCTGAATAAATATGTCATTACTACCTAATTAAGCAGTGTTGATTATTCACTGAGTGACATGATTGCAAATAAGCACACTCACTTGTTTTATTGTATCAAATAATCAACTGTTATATAATATATTCTTTTATTATTATCATATAGGATGGTAAAACTCTATTACATTGTGCTGGTGAGTCTGGTGAAGTTGAAATGCTTCAGTTTTGGATTAAAAAAGGAGATTATAATGTGAATGTCAAAGATGAAGCAATTTATTTCAAAATTATCATTCACTTTAAATACGCTGTATTCTAGAGGAAGAGAACTCCATTGTTTAATGCTGTTAAGAAAGGTAGCATTGAAGCTGTTGATGTTCTATTAACTAATGGAGCTACAACTGATGTTGTGGATAAAGTAAGTTAAAGTTTTAACTTATTTTTATGCTGGCTGTTTGCTACTACTTGATAGTGTTGACTCATTCTTCATAACATGAATAATAATTTTTGTTAATAGGATAAGGAAACTCTACTGCATTGTGCTGGTGAATCTGGTAAAGTTGAAATGCTTGAGTTTTGGATTAAGAGAGGAGATAATGATGTGAATGTTAAAAATAAAGTAATTATTTATTTAAATTATCATGAGTGACTTTGTGTTGTATTATAGAGGAACAAAACTCCATTGTTTAATGCTGTTAGTAGTGGTAGTATTGAAGCTGTTGATATTTTATTAACTAATGGAGCTAGAACTGATGTTGTGGATAAAGTAAGTTATGTATAGTGGTATTTATGCACTATCTGAGCTTGAGGGCAAATCAAAGATGAGCATATTGCCTTTTTTGGGTGACCAAAAATTTTAATATGTTTTCTTGAGCAGTATAATAAAGATCATGAAAATTCAATGACTTCGTAATCTTTCAGAGGTGATATTCTTTGACCGTTAACTCATAACATTAACCCACACAGCCATCAATAAAAATTCTGACTGAAGTTACATGTATTTTAAATGTCAATTATTTCATTTAAAGGGTGTGGCTGGAAAATGGAAATAAAGTTTAATCAATTTACAGTGGTTAATTGCAAAATTGATTTCAGTTTTTAGATCAGGCATTGCCACTCTAAAATACCCACACTGCATGCTGCCATTTATGATAAAGATATGGCACAAATGGTATATGGAGTGTTCTTAGCATAATTAATTCTTGTTGAAGTTGCTCCAAAGTTTGGTATACTATACACTGTAGTACAGAGGTATTTTAGCCAAAAATTGCTATAAGATAATTTTTAATTTTAAATATGTGGCCAAAATTATGTACTATAGTACACTATAGTACTATAGTATACTGTAGTACAAATTTTACCAAAAATGAAAAGGAGAGGATTTCCTATTTTATATTTTATTCTGATGCATGTGCATGTACATGTGTTGTGAAAAAACTTGGAGCTTAATCCAATCAATCAACAGGAAGCTGTTGTCACACAATATGACTATACTAGCTAATTCTTATCATTAATAATAAAGGAACGATATCCTTAGCTACACCTTATATTCACCTAATTTATTACTCATATAGTATGATATTACTCCATTGCACTGTGCTAGTGAAACTGGTGACAGTAAAATTATTAAATTATTAATAACTAAAGGAAAGGCTGATGTGAATGCTGTGGATGAGGTAAAGTTAATTATTAAATAATCATTCATTTTGTGTTGTACTTTTAGGACAAAAAAAGTCCATTGTTTAATGCTGTTAAGAGTGGTAGCATTGAAGCTGTTGATATTTTATTAACTAATGGAGCTAGAACTGATGTTGTTGATAAAGTAAGTAAAATTATTCATTATATTTATAAAGTATACTAGATGACACTATCTGAATGTGTTGATTACTCATGCCTATTTTGATCATTATTACTATCATAGGATGGTAAAACTCTACTGCATTGTGCTGGTGAATCTGGTAAAGGTGAAATGGTTGAGTTTTGGAGAGGAGATTATGATGTGAATGTTAAAGATAAAGTAATTAATTTAAAATTATTAGTCACTTTATGTTCTATTGTAGCGGAAGAGAACTCCATTGTTTAATGCTGTTGAGAGCGGTAGTATTGAAGTTATTGATATTCTTTTAACTAATGGAGCTAAAACTGATATTGTCGATGAAGTAAGCTTTATGTACTGTATAGCCACAAAGTTTTGAGGCAATGCACTTTTGAAAATCAGACCAAAAGTCTTTTTTGCAAATTTACTTTCATGGTTCACCATGAAGTTACATCCAAGAGAGGCATTTATTTTGTAAAGTACACATGATTGTAGGTTGAAACTAATTAACTTTCGCAGATATGAAAAATTTGTGAAAGCAGCAAAAATTATGTCCTCAAAATTAAGGGGAGCAGCTATACAATATATGCTATACCATGTTGACAAGGTGTCACTATTATGTTAGAGCAAAGCATTATGCTGCTATGTAGCAAAGTCCATTATGTGCCACAGTAAATTAGTTAAGCTTTTTGTGCCTAGCTGGAGCATTTCGCAAAATTTTGAATCCACAAAATATAAGTGTTCTATAATAATACTATATTAATTTGTGTGTATATTA